TTTCATGATATCATTGATGTATTATGCAAATGAAGGATTTGCTGTTTCAGTTGACCAAGTGGTGTAATGATGTAGGGTTACAGAGTGTATTCGATGAATCCACCTGCATCACAATCGCTGATATTTCATTCTAGATTTGTGTTTCACACTTGTGACTTCAAATGTCGTCCAGTTAATCGTTGGGTAAGTTCATTGATGTGTAGCACTACCAACTGTTGCCTTCACTGGACGAAACCTTCATTAGAACGCTGGCTCCTTAATATTGTACTGGGCTAGGCTTTTTGACTTTGTTCATCATCATTGCGTGATGCCTATTCAAGTGGCTTATATATCAATTAATGTGAATTATTTGGAGTGATGATAGTTCATACCCCTAAGGGGATCCTAGCTGGCCTATTGACGAATGCTAACAAGCATGGCAGATGATCAAGTTGACGAAAATCTTATCTTATCTGGCAGCTAAAAAGTTGTCATTAGAAAGGCTTCTCTACCAAGGTTTCTGTGAAGTTGGTACTTCTAAACACAGTGGAATATTTTATGGAGAAAAGTCGCCATCGCGGCATGTGTCACCGTTTTCAGGACCACGACAAGAAGAAGGATGAAAAAGAGTGATGTGGAAGTCAAGGTGACAAAGACTGTGCTACTGTGACCAATTTTCAGCCACTGACTCTTATAATGTCGAAGCCCGGAGTCAGGCATAGCTCAAACTGATAGTCAGAGACCTCCTGGTTCACTACCATGTCCTCGTATAGCTGTAGTTGGGATTCAATCTAGTCCTACTTCAGTTAACATCCTACTTTGAGGAAGGTGATGGCTTAACATTCATGACACCCGAGCAAGTGAAGATTGACAGCCTCACTGATGCATTTCGCTTTGTTGCGTAATACTTCACGTCTCACCTCGGAATTACTTACGTGCGATATTTGCTAGAGTACTAATTAGTAACAGCCAGATAACAATAGACGAACGTTTCGCTCAATAAGAAATCCTAGTGGACGTAGTTGTCGTCATTGTTGGCAGTTGTCAGCAAGGTGAACCTAAAAGTATGAGAGAGCTGATGTTCTCTGACCATGCAAGATACAACTCAACCCATGTAGGGCTGGATCTTGCTCAGTATGGTAATAAGACTTCTATCTTTAGTGCTGAATGTCGCGAATTTTAGTCCTTAGACAAATAATCCCCCTGATCTTTACTGACAAGCATGAAACCTACATGGAGCACGACTCTAATTGTCGGATTGATAGAATTAACAGTATAACAGAGTACAGTAAAGCGTTCCAGGCACATGTTTTCGGATGACGAATCCTTATAGTGGACGAAACTCAGGTCCTGGATTTGACTACCAGTCACTATTTTATTATTATTAGTCCCTTGGGTTCCTAGTGGTCTCCCTTCTTCGGCAGTTTGACAAGGTAACCCTTCTTCCAATCACCAGGTACCTTCTCTTCCTTCCACACCTTCTGCAATAGTGGCGTGAGCATGTCTGCTGTTGTCTCTGCGTCTGTTCTCAGTGCTTCTGGCGGTATCCCGTCTGGTCGTGCTGCTTTCCCGCATTTCAGTAGCTTTATGGCGTTCAGGACTTCCATTTTTGTTGGAGGATTTATGTTCACTTGTAGTTCTGTGGCTGGCTGCAGGTGGTATTTCTGGACGAAGTGCAGGTGGTGGTCGATTCAAGAGCTTCTTGAAGTGGTCGGCCCATTGTTTCCTTTGTTTCTCTTCTTTCGTAATTAAATTTCCTTCTTCATCTTTTATTGGTTTCATCTGTGTTGATCTCTTCCCTAACAGATTGTAACCTGGTTATTTGATACAATGTCGTCAGGTCTCTCTTACCTGCAGCCTGTTCTGCTGTTCTGTCTGGGTGACCAGAGTAGATTATTGATTCTCCAGTTGACAGTTTTGAGACTCCACTCCCATTCCATCTGCTTTCGCAAATCCTAAGCACTTCAATATGATACCTTCTCATCTCTTTTGCAATCTGGGCTGCCCTGCTGGGTTCAAACATCGTACGGACATTCCATGTCCCCACGTTTACTTTCGCTTTCATCGAGGGAGAGAAGACACATCGGCCAATTGACTTCCCGAAGGCTTTCACCAACTGGCGTCATTTCGCCTCTCCGATTCCAGCGAGGAATAGTTTTGTTTTTATTTTTTATATTTTTTTTGTGCTTTGAAGTTTCTTTAGCGGTTAGATTTCTGTTGCTAGCCCTATGCCCAACCTTGCCTCTTTACCCGGGCTTAGGACCGGCTAGTAACTAGCGAACTAGTTAACCAGGCGAGGTTCCAGTCACTACCTATCATTAATATGCAAAACTGAAGATGCTGGCAATGTTGAGTTGGCATATGTCTAACGATTTGTTCCAGTCAACGACGGGGCATTATAATCAACAAGATGAAAACTTGATTTGTTGAATAACGAGTGGCTTGTGTGCATAACACTTTGGCGTTTCAAGCAATCTGTCCAGGGTTTGAGTGCCAATGGGTACAACATCTCTCTCTAGGAGGCAGGTAGAGGCGGTTAATGAAGCCCGAGGAAGATGAAACGTGCATCCTCGAGTCCACTAATAGTCAGTATTTATCAATACTTCCGACAAGAGTTATGATTATTCCTTTGCTGTATGTATGTTTTGTGTTTACAGAGAGTAGAAGGTACATCTTATTCGAACCAACAGGCGAACAAGGAGATTCGTGTACAGATGAAGTCTCCTTGTTATTTCGCCTTCGATCCCATTATTGTTTAGAACAGTAAACCAATGCTTAATACACTACTGAACAGTGTGAGTAGTAGAAATACCTAATGTCACAGATGAAGTTGGATTCATGACGTGTTGTTGCCTTCAAGTTGCCAAAATCTATCCTTCCACTAAGTCGTGGTAAGCCTACTGGCTGCCGTCCTTCAACTCTCCTTGAAGTTGAGAAAGCTGCATCCTACCTGAAATGACGTGAAACAGCAGAACCTGGAGTTTTCAAGGTTGAAGGTAGGAAATCGGTGATTAGAGTGTCAGTGGTACTAAGCGGTGTAGTATATGAGAATCAGAATTAGTCCTGTTAGATTGGTCTAGTTTACCGATGATCCCAGTTTATAAGAAGGAGGTAAAATCTTGTGACAGCCATGGGGAATTAGCTTGACTAATTATGTGTTCATTATCCTAGGATCCATAGTTATCCGATGCAAAACTGGAGCTGGTAAACGGCAAACTGAAGAAAATCGGGTAGGTTTCAAACCTGGACGAGAGTGAATCAATCAGATTTTCACCCTTCGACAGATTCTGGAATACAGGCATACCTGCCGGCAGCTGAAACGTAATATATTTCTTCACTCAGAGTCGATGTTTGACTCTATCAGCCATCAAGTGTTGTGGCAGTGTCTTATTGTGATGGGAGTGCCGAGCAGGTGAGTTGGCTACAACTAGTGGTATCCGCCAGAGATGTCCAATGTCACTGCTCTTTTTCAACTTCGTTAAAGACATACTAATGGGCATAACCGTAGGTACGTGTGACTTCAAGCGTACCGATCAACTCCCTGGATATCGTCTGGTTGACGTAGAGTATGCAGACGATGTTTTCGGGCTAGATGGAGACTTTGACGCAGTGTAGGGTCTTGTGAACGTGTTCCATTTCCGAAGGGCCAGTACACTGTGTTACATTCCGCGATGCCCTGTTATACGGCAGTGGGACAAAGGCGTTAGTAGTAGAATATATGAAGCGGTTTTTTTTTTTATTGCACGTGTCTGAATGTGGTGGAATCATTGTGTGAGGAGTGCTGAGGTTAGGCGAAAGGTACTAGGCCAGAAAAGCCAGTCAATGGACGAGGTTGCGAACCTCAGGCAACTGAGATAACTTGAACATAAACTGCGCATGCCTAGCCACCATTTTCCTTGATGTCATGCTAAGAAAAGGCGTAATAAGATGCAAAAGTTTCAAGGTAGCCAGTTCAAGACCCAGCACCAGTTCATGATTTCCTTGACTGTTGACTTGAGACATGTAAGGGAGATGTAACCTATCTAGTTTGGGTCCTTGATGAAATGGCTGAAAATCGGTGACAATGGCGCAGATGTATTCACTCCTTGACAACTTCAGATTGCTTTTTCTCTCACACAATTCTATCTACTTTGATATCAGTGTCTTCTTCTACCGTCCTGTTCTTTGTGTACTTCTGCGAAGTGAAGCAGCTTCAGACAGTGCACCAGTGTGTGTGTGTGTGTGTGTGTGTGGGGTTCTACGTTGGTTTTATCAATGTTAGTCGTCTAGCAAGGCATTCTCATCCCATTCCAAATCATATTTAAAGTAGTTGGAATCAGAAAATTGTAGTCAAAAACGGTTTCCATCCTCACCTCCTGAGATTTATTGACTCTAACATAAAACAGAAGACAGAAATGCAAAGATACACCAACCATCTAAAAAAATCTGTAACTTTAAAGGAGTATTGTAAAATGTAATCCCTAAAAATCGCTTGTTAGCAGCTTCGGTTGCCGGTATATCCAGCTGACGAGTTCTACGGGGTACAAAACACGTGTCTTATATTCCGCTGTTACCCACCACTAACAAAATTAGGGCAACTTTATTCTGACGATAAGGTTAGGAGGGAAAATCATATTAACTGGCAATGAGCTCCGAAGCACCCAGGTATAGTTGGCTTGAAATGCAGATTTTCACCACCAAACTTACGCATGATTTTCTCCTCACCAGAGACTAAATGACAACCTCAAAACAGCTCGTCTAACTGTCTATAAAATTTTCATTATTAACATTATTTAAGTGTCACAATTTGTTTATTTCAAGATGTTACATAAAGAGTGGGTTTTTTAAAATATTACGCATCATATCAAGATTAATGCCTGAGATTAGGCAACTACTATTTTCGCTGAAACACACAGCCTACTCATGAGTAGTTAAACATTTATGTAAAAATTTTCAGAAGTCGGTGGTTTGTCTGCAGTCTTTCCAGCCTACAAGTACAATCCAATGTGCTGTGATATTTTCTTTGTTTTCTCTTTCCACAGGGGGATGGGAAAATACCCAAACAGAAGAAACCTAAGACACTGACAGAAAAGAAAGTAACCAGTGAGAAAGTTGCAGTCACAACGAAAGTCATTGAAGGTAAAGGAAAATGTTTGAAGTATATTTCTAAAATGATTATTATCTTGTCTAAGTAAAGATCACTTGTCGTATAGTTCACATTCACACAACATCTAGGTAAGATTGATTATGATATGAGTAATCTTTACGATTTGGTCATTGTTCTAGCAAATCATTTATCTGAAGGATATCAAAATCCTGCCCGGTTGTTGCATGAAACGCGTATGGATTGAAGGCAGACAGTTGGAGAAGACATCAGTCAGTGTAGTGGTATCAATTCTCATTGGTAGTGTAACGGGTATGAAGTAAAAGAACTTGGTTGATGAAGGTATAAACCTTCTGTTCCCTTAGCACCATATTGATGCGAATAATTTAGAAGGAAGTTTTAAATGTGATCGTATAAAGACTATATGAAGTCTTCGACAGTTGAAGGAACTGTCAACTCTCTAGCTAAGGTTCATCAAGTGACCATGTCTCACCAGCGGCTATATTTTCTAATAGGATAAGGTATATTCAACAAGAATTTTCCATCTACACAGTCTAGGACATGTGGAATAGAAAGTTTTGAACAGTTTCTTGGTTCAGTTTTGGACCTTCTCAGCAGTGCAAACCTATGGATTAGGAAAATGGGAAACTGGTTGTTACTGTGAGCATACCGCAATTCAGCCATTAGGCTAGGAAAGAAATTGATTGATGAAGATGTATCTCCACGTATCACTCAGTTGAATCCTCTCCAAAAGAAAGTACCCAATGAAGATGAATATTTTTAAGCTTCCAGGGTAGATTGGGTCTCATAATAGCATAAAATACAGTGTCTTTGAAAATTTGGTTTCACTCAGATTACCATCTTATCAATAATGTATATCCAGTAATCTACATCCGGGGTCGAACTGTCTAGGGATAAATCAATTTACCAAGAAGTCATTGATTTGTACACACATATCTCAAACGTTCAGATAGGCAGTCATAGTAACTGGAATAAATTTGGTCAGAGAGTAAACAAAGATGTCTGCGAACATTATTTAAATTGATAGTTGAACTCACAGAGATTGGTTCCTAATACAAACCCTTTCAATACCATAATCCGGGATAGTTGTTGAAAATACTATTCACCTGGGAACAATGCGTCATATGTAGTGTTTGCTATTCATGAACCATTTGTAAGCTGATCATTCTGCTAGACAAATTGAGGTGATCAGAACCAGTTCGACTCCTGTGTCAGCTGAATTTGTCTGGACACACTGTGGCGTGAGTAGTAGTAGTAGTAGTAGTAGTAGTAGTAGTGGTAGTAGTGTGAGTAGTAGTAGTATTAGTAGTAGTAGTGGTAGTCTGAGTAGTAGTAGTAGTAGTAGTGTCAGTAGTAGTAGTGGTGTGAGTAGCAGTTTTAGTGATAGTAATATCTTCTAACCCACAGAGGGATAAAGCTTCTCCTACCCCCTTGACCTTATAGTCAAATGTGATCTAACCACAACTGAAGACGACTAAACCTGAAAGGATGAAACGCTTTCCCTAGGACTTCCAGTTTGTCATTGTTTCTCTACAGTGTCAGAAATCACGATATTTTTTGCCGATTTATTTGCAAATCTGTCAACAAAGATTGACAAAATACTATTCTCTTTGTCAATCAAAGTTAGTCTACTGATTCTTCAACCACTTTCATTAGCTAATGACATTGAAGAATCATGACGTTTCGTGTTTACTACTGAAGAGTCTCGTCATAAGGTGAGAGATCACTTCCAGTTCTGGAACATTTCATCAGGAGTACGCTCCCTTAACCTACGCATAGCAGGAACATTGGGAATCCACGAATTTCAGGCTAATCTCTGCGCTTGGAAGAAGTATGCTCAATCTCAGCCTGTCACTGTATTGAAGTCTATCTGCCAGCAATTCGGCCCTGTATAGCAACAAGGAATTACAAGTACCATAACAAGAAGTGTGAGAGTTGGCTGCTGTGTCTTATTGGCCTAGTAGATAACGCCTTGGTGTTTGAGGCGACGAGTACTGAGTTCGTGTCTCATTGGCTGCAACATCACCCACTGGGGTGCATGTTTCATTCAGCTAATAAGTGACTCTTAAGTAGGATGAAACGTGAATCAAGCTGAATTCCACTACCAGTCGCCAAACAGACAATAAACAGTTGAAAATTTCACCTTCATTGTGTCGCCTGTTTCTTTCTCCCATGGATACTGAACTCGTTATCTCAGTGTAACTGCGATTGTACAGCTTCGGAAAATGACACTGTCAACGAAGGATTGCTTCTTCGCTAAATTATACGTCCTTCTCTTTATCACTATTAGTTTTATTACCGGACGAATGATCCATTATCGGACTAGTAAACACATCCATTATGTACTGCACAGCTAAGTGTTTGGGAAAAACGTCGACAGCGTATGGAAATGACACAAGGAAAAAAGAAGTAGAACTTTTCTCAAGTTATGTCGTGTCGCTTTAGTCATAAATACGAACAGTTTACGCTAATTGGCCCACTAGCCAATCATGTCGTTTCAACCTTCAGTGATTGTTTATCTGAGTCATTTCTCAAGGTCATTTCATGCCGCGAAATTCAAACCAGTTTTTCATTTATCTATCCAGATGGTCGAAAAAGAGTTTAGAAATTGATTTTTGATTGAAACAGTTAAAAATGATCTAGTGTACGGTTATACTGAGTAGTACTGATTAGTAATTCGTTAAGCTTCGAGGCATAGGCCAAAAAATCAATGAGTTAACTGTAAATACCATAAATTTAATTAGCAAAAGTAACTCTTTACCCTTGAAAGCTTCATAATGTGATCAGTACTGTGATCCAGATTTTATAATATAATGAACTCAGCCCTTGTCATCAAACAGTAGGGTTATACACTAGACTTTTGAGCTCTGGATGCAAGTACATTGATTTGATGAGTCCCCAAACTGGACGAAATGCAAACTGTTATCTCGAAGAGCAGTTAACATCATCGCTTATGAATCGCCGTCTTTGATTGGGCCTCACTGTTTAGCTACTATTGATAAATAGGCTGCTGTCTAGATGCCCAAGGATTTTCAGTGTTTCCCTCCGATCTATCATTCGTCAGCTGAATATACCTGCACCTCAATGAGCAATGTTTTTCTTGCTAAGGCTGTAACTAAGCCAAGCAATCACGATAATATCGTCTTTGACGTCATAGCTTGTGGGAGCGACATTAAGTCTTGGAAAGCGGGAACAGGCTGCTGACGAGTCCAAAACTAGGCGAAACATGTATCCTAGATTTAACCCTGGTAGAAAAAATTCATCACAAATATCCAGTTATTGTTAAGCGAAAGAAGTTATGAAGCTAATTGATGTGTTTAACTGTACAGTGAATGTTATCAACGACACTAATTTAATTTCATTATGAAATGAATAGGGATTTTAATTTTCAGATAGTATACGTCATGGACTGATATCATTCGGGAGGCACTTCTGGAGAAATGGGAGCACTGGACATCTGTTTCCTCTGAGCACGGGATTCCTCAGCAATGACATGCTTCCAGATTGATATCACGAAGTTCAGATGAGAAACTGTGATCTATGAGGTTAACCAGTCGGAAGCGGTTGCCATCTGAAGACTTTGCTTTAAAGTGGCGCTATATCTCCACCGAAGGTTGTGAGTGCATGCTCTCGATGAGTCTCGAAACGGAACGAAATAGCCGTCCAGTGCTCCGAAGAGATTTCCATATCAGTCTGTCATGAATACTGTCTCAAAACTTATTTAATTACGAGACAGCACAATTCTGGTTAATGATTGTTGAAAAACTTTCAAGGTTGTCTAGGCGTGTTTTCGTGATCCAGAAAACTGATGTCTAAAGGCTATAAATAGTCGCTAGACAATTAGCATTTTTCCCAAGTCAAAAAAAAACATTCATCATGTGCGTGTGTGTGTCTGTATATGTGTGTGGAGGCTTACAGATCCGTAAAAATTACCGCTAGAAACTAAGTTGATCAGTTTTATTCAGTAGACAAAACATACTACTGAAAAGCATCAGTAGTCACAAACTATGAAAGTTGATCTCTTGGCTAAATTGAAGTGACCAAATTGAAAGAACATGAAATCTGATCAACAATATTACGACTAGTCACAATGTGAAGTTAATTACCCTCCAGTGACCAGTTAGTGTACAATAATTCTACTTGGAAAGGAAGGAGTCAACAGGAGAGGAACTCAGTTCAGCATTCATTCAGAAGTCGTCTATTGCTGTACATAGAGAGGATAAGTTGAATAGGCGTTAAACATTAGACAGATGGTAACCTATGAGCGATGTATGTTATGGTATGGTGAGAGCATATTGCTTCAATTCAACAAACCTGACATCAGTACACCGATACAGAAGTTAATGGGATGCAAGATAGAGAGATTCATAGCTAGTACCTAATGACATGATGATTCGATGGGTTCCAGTATGGTTAGGTAAGTGTGTCAAATGTTGTTACTACCATCTTGATGAAGGATCCTCCAGATTGCTGCATATTAGACTTAACACAAGAAGACTACTCTACAAAAACTATCTCCAGTTAAACCTATGAAGCCATCGGGAACTTTCAGTTCGAAGTTACCCGTGAATCCCAACCGTATAGTGAACAGGAAGTACACTACTGCGTAATACATTCAACCTTTTAAAAAGCATTTGCAAATCTTATCAGTACCAAGACCTATGTAAGTCAGTGAAAGGGAATCAAGACACTTTTTCTACAGAAAATCATATTTTTACAACATTTTGCCTGGTTTCCATTGGAAAAACGTACGGAACATAGAAGCACTGGACATTAGCCGTTTCGTTCTAGTAGAGTGCATCTGTGACACCACCGTAGGTTATACGGGGTGGTGGGGTGAGTTAGGGTGATCTTTATGATTATTTGAGTAACAAAAGAGATGAGAATAAAAATCATTGTCGATTACTACTTGACACCCATCATTAGGAAGAAGAGAATTCTTTAGTAAGTCAGAGATAATCTGTACAACTATTTTAGGTCAATCAGAGGGCATCCATCATGAAATACAACCGGCAACTACAGCGTAATATCAATCCATTATGAGTGAGAAAAGGTTATAGTAGGTTAAGGACATGAGGAAGGTTGATTTAGCTCACGGGTAACACATTTCATGATGCAATATGACTATCGGATTGTTTAAAAGTTTCAACGCGCTGGCCCCGGAACCTGAAGGTCGCGGGTTCGATCCCTACTGGTGGGGTCGTGGGTGCGCGCTGTTGAGGAGTCCCATACTGGGACGAAACAGCTGTCCAGTGCTCCCAGGTTTCCTTTGTTCCTCCAACTGATGTCAGTCTACGATGAATAACAACTCGAGATGACATCTGTTTTAATGATGACAGGAAACAACTATCCTCAGTTATTGTCTAATTATTGAAAATAATAATGCCATAATCATTTGCAAGCATACAAATGCACTAGGTCGATGACAAAATACTTGATTCTGATTGGCTGATCGAAGTAGGATGTTGTCCAATAATATTTACCCTGACTACGCAGCAGCATAAATGATAAAAATTTTTTAGGGTCGCAATTTCAACCTCATCGATCGGTAACACAACATATTGATTTATATTTAAGGTTTTTTTTCTATTAGTATTTTTGTCAAGTGTATTTACTCAAATCACTGAAATTTGGTGTGAAACTTCTTGATACTAGTTACTAGGATATAGCTACAGAGTTGAATGGTTGGATTTTCATGTCGTTATTGTCATTCCAGGCGAAATCATCACCAGTATAAACGTCACAAAGAAGTGACCTAAGAGAAATTCTCCACAATTGGCTGAATAGCTTGTCGAAACCACGTTGAATGTGATTGGTTGTTTCTGTTGTGTCATTATCCCAAAACTTATTTTGATTGGCTGTCCTACTGGTCTGATTTCCGACCTTCTTGTTGCTTTTTATTGGTATGTAGATTGGCTTCATGTCAGTATGTTTATTAACCGCTTCAAAGCTTCCACTATTCAGTATATCTACATCTTCCTGGTTGTATTCATGCTCATAGGTTGTCTACATGGTTTGACTCACTTCCTTCTGAAGTTTTTGCTTGTAAAGATGTTGTTTTGAATGAAAATGAAAGGTTTACAATTATAGAGGCTATCGACATGAAGGCCTGATTAACATAGGGTTTCGTCCTTGTTAGCGCTCATCAGCAGTGTGTGCATTCAACTTCAAGAGAAGTGACGTCCTCTTAGAGGTTGTAATTAGCGTCACCCAGCGCCATAGTCATATTTATTACTTCTGAGTGACTGGAGATATGAGTAGTTCCCTGTACGACTGGCAACACACTGTACAGGTGTATACACATACATATATATGAGCTATCCATCGATCGGGATTTGTCCACTAAACTGCCAGGCTGTCGAATCACATTTTTCGATCACACTGCCGCATGTTACTGTCATCATGATCAACATGGAACCAGACGTTACTGCAAAGCGATCCAAGTTCCTATCCACATCTCATATATCAGCTCAACAATTAAAAGGGTAATAAAATGGGATGTGAATAAGGAAAGAAAAATTAGTCGAAAGTAGTAGAAAGTAGTAAACAAGAGAAGGAAGGAATAAGAAAAGGATAGAATAATGTATGAAGATACATCTACACCACTGACATCGGTTCTGAGGCATATCACCACTTAGAATCCATTGTTTCGTGATCGCCAACCGGGCTGGTCCACCTCTCCCACACATTGCTTAAAGGAACAGTCATGCCATGTTTTAGTCTGACCGCCTGAACAGTTTTACAGCCTGAACTCTACTTTGGTCAACATTATGGGACGAGATAGACGGTAGTCAGGCATACCTAACACATGTCTTAGTGAGACATCTCAGTCGATGAAGGTTCACAACAACATCAACTGACTTATATCTCCTGCCGAAAACACTGAACTTGACACCTGTGTTGCTCACTTGGTGACACCATGAAACACGGCCTATGCTATGAAAACAATGGTTATCAAACGCGAGAAGCCTTCTCATATCTTATACTTTTAATGGCCATGTTTCACAGCCATACAATAGAAGAGAACGAACTGCAGCACGGTACACTCGGCGGCGCCACAGATGGCGTACTTTGGAGAAAGCCAACCAATCCTTTTGTATCGGCAACTGACCAACGCATCAGGGCTGATCCAACTTCTGAGGTAAGTGATTGGACGTCGGGTGTCAGTTGACAAAGTACTGAAAACCTCGGAGGTGTTTTCACCTAGTTTAAGAGTTGGTAAAAGTGCTCACACACATCCCTGTGAAGAATCGGGTATAGAACCATTCGGTCTGACAGACAGTGAGTAATCATGGACTAGGGTCATCGGGAGAGCTAGACGAGATTCCCAAAATCCTGATAAGACGACTTGACCTGTGGGTTCATTCAAGTTAGAAGTGCAGATGACAATGGATAATGGTTACAGCATATGAAGAAGTGACAGAAACACGAGATAATGAGTTAGTGGATTCCGACTCATTGGGGCTTGCAGTTCTTAGATCGGATCCCTGGCGGGACCATAGGTGGGTACTGCTGGGGTCTCAAACTATGATAAAGCAGCCGTGTAGTGCTCCCATGTTCTAAATTGTCATCTCCAACTGGTGTCAGTCGGTAATGATAACTAATTCCAAATCGATCCACGAATGTTTACAAAACACCGAATGAAATAAACCAAGTCGTACATGAGAACGAATATTCAGAACCCAAATACAAAATCATCGACAGAGGTCAATAAATGCATCATCTTACCTTACATAAAGAAGATGTATCAGAAATCATGACAAGATTATTGAGACCACTTGGAATTGATGTCAGGCGCCTCGTAAACTAACAAATTCCCTCCAATCACTGTTATCCAGACCAAAGGGGATTGAACAACCAAAGAAGACAAACTGAATATCATACATAAAATCAACTGAAATGCTTGTGGTCAACACTACATTCATTGAACAAAGTGGTCACCATCTTCACCTTCCTTCACATGAGAACACCAACTGGCTATTGAATCTAACGACATTTCATCACTCATCATTCAATCCAAGTGGATAACAACTATGGATATGAATTGAATGTTGACAGTGTAGAAATATTGGATGGAGAGAGGAAACATAAAGAATATCAGAGAATTTCAAGAAGCTTGGGATTCAGCTCAGCTCAGTCAGTCAGTCAGCAGTCCACAGATGTCTAGACATAGACCCAATCTACCAAGCAATGATAAGAATGATAAACGAGGGAAAGGTGGGGGGTCAGGCAGAGGAAGAGTCAACAGGAGAATCTATGTAGTCATTCAATGACACAATAAACAAAGGTAACAAGGAATCAGAGAGGACATCGTCAGAGCAAACTAGTAAATCACTCAGGGAGAGATATTGACAACTAGCTGACTTCCTACAGAAGTAGGTATTGCTGCTGATGTTGTCTAGAAAGAAAGATGATGGAAGCTTCTCCACTACTAAGCAATCCAGCTCTTCAGAGAACTCAATAAAATCAAGTCTATCCTCCTGACCTACAAATATTCTTCACCATTTCCGCTAATAACTTAAAATGTTGATTTTCGTTTAGATCGTTTCCGAAGTCCTCTCAGCTTTACATTACAATACGAGGAATCATCAAGCCTGTATCTTTAGAATTCATTATTGTAATAATCGAATTTAGAAAAGAGTAGTCTTCAGTTGACTGTAGAAAGCATTGGCAAAACGTTTTTCTCCAACCAAGTCGTCTGCATTTTGTACCGTTATATCATTATTATTATTTGTCCCTTGGGTTCCTTCCTAGTGGAACGTAGGGCTTCAGTAGCACGTCTCCATTCCACTCTGTTCCTCACACGATCTCCTCTATGTCACCTTAGTCTCGGACGCCCAACTCGTCTTCTCAGTGTATGTCCAATCCATCTCCACTTCCCTCCACTGCATATCTGTCGAGTGATAGGTTCTTGGTTGGTTCGTTGCCACCCACAATGAGTTCCTTGTTCCTTATTCTTATTGTTCTGGCCATCTGATCTTCAGTAGCGAGCCAGTGTAGGCGGCAGTTGTTGATGTATGTCTGTAGTTTGTTGACCTTTGTATCATACAGCATATTCATGAATTCAATCAAAAATTTCCTTCCTATGTGTGCTGATCAAACTATGTTCAGCCTCGAGAAAGTTCCAACGTGGTGTCAGTGTATCAAATCTTTTCCTGTTAGTTTGAGCTGTGTAGAGAAATGTAAACTTTTAAGTTGGTAGTGATTGGAGATTCTAAGTGATAACAATCACTGACCAAGCATTCAACACAGTTACCTAGGTTCCAAGTCAAGTTTTAACAGTAAACCTATCATTTAAGCAAAGTATTACTCAGAAAAATAGATTTATTTCATATATATGATGGGCTACTCTGACAGGGATGACTTGTTGTATATCGAAACGTTCGCCGCAGGTCAAATAATGCTTTACATACATTCTTATCTCTTTTTGTTATCTTAGATAAACCTGAACCAGTTGAGACAGTAACAACAGAAGCAGCAGCAACAGCAGACTCTGTTAGCAATCATATTGTACCAGTGGAGAGTGGAACTGTTGAAGAAACTGTTAAATTACGTTCACATATAAGCATATTGGAACCAGCTCCATTGAATTACAAACTGCCTGATCCATTACCATCGATGTCAATCAATATTTCATCAGATTGTATTAAACCAAATCTAGACAAATCTAAATTTGTCTCACAATTAATTATTAATAAAGCAACTCCAATTGATAGTCATATTGCTCAACCAGTTGATTTAGAAGCTCGTGAATTAGCTAAAGGTATAGCTAAACCAGCTAATTGGTCAGATTTATATTGGGCATTAATTGGTAAACGTAATCTACTCACTGATGAAGTTAAAGTTAGAGCATTATTCTCATGGTTATGTTCAATACCAGTTGGTGAAATACCATTTTTAACCTATGAAGAAATTCAACAAGCAGAAAAAGATGGTGTACAATATGCTAAAGAGGCTTTAACCAATAAAAGTTTAAAATTGAAATCGATTCACCAGAATATATTCTGAATGAAATGTCTCGTGGCAAGGCAACTTATCTACAAGTAAATTTTGAGAAAAATGATTACAAATATTGTTATATTATTATTATTATTTGTTCCTTGGGTACCTAGTGAAACATAGCGCTTCAGTAGCACGTCTTCATTCCACTCTGTTCTCTGAAATCTGTTGAACCTGGCTCTACGTTAGCCCAAAAGCTCTCATTTCTTCCTCATACACCATCTCCACCATGTTACCCTCACCTCCGATGCCCAACTCGTCGTTTCCCATCTTGGTTCCACTCGAAGGTCTACTGCGTGATGTCCACAGTCGGCCTTCTCAATGTATGCTCAATCCATCTCCACTTCCTTCCAGTGCATATCTGTTGAGTGATTGGTTCTCAGTTGGTTCGTTGCCACCGATAATGAGTTCCTGGTTGCTTATTCTTTCTGGCCATCTAAGTTGAGCTTCAGTAACGAGCCAGTGTAGGTGGCAGTTGTTGATGAATATCTGTAGTTTGTTGGGAATCCCTTTCGTAACGCGCCAAGTCTCTGAGTCATACAGAATCACTGACTTGACTAAATTGGTGTTTAAAATCGGGATCTTGTTCTTTATGCTGAGTACAGTGCAGAAGATCACCACACTGGTTTCAGGCTAATGAACGCCTGTCATTGTTATATATATATGTCGAAAAGGGTTATGTACTATGACAGCTAACGATTATGGATATCGACTGTCAGTCACCAACATTTCTAGGTGATTCCGGATCCGACAAATCATGGAGAAGTTACGGTGGAAACGTGTAGAAATGTGTATTTGGGGTCGAAGCATCAATTGTACTGATTGGCTGGTTCATCGTCTGTCTGTCTCTCTAGCTATGGAAGTGGTCCCTCTCCTAACTAGGCTTTTCTCTGTATTCCCCATATCATCTCCCTCTTCGATAGAATGTTATTTGGGGTCAAACGGTGCACATCTGTCTTTTACTTCCATCTATCTGACTGACGCAAAGGAAGTTTCTACTTGTTTATTTGGGGATCAGTAATCTTCTCGATATTGTTTCGGTTGGCAGATCTGTGGTGATATCAGGAAGATGACTTTTGTACAAATCGTTTTGTTTGTTGGCAGTCAAAACTGACCTTATGGCCCCAGCATTACAGTTCCTGAGATCAATGTTGTGTAGGTGGACAAGATTCGACGAAATACCAGGCACCACAATACCAGCAAGGTGATGGGGGTGTCTTTTTGAAGGTCGGTTGATACTGCATGAACAGTCGAGACAACACCACGGGGTGTATACTCAGAGGGTGCTGTGGAGGAATGAGATGTCTGGCGAACTGTATGTACTTCAGAACGACCATGGTATCCGTATGGGGCTAAATTCGGATCACACTGTGGATTACCTAGTCGTCGATATTCTGCAGACATATCGTTCAGTTTCTGAACTGTGGAGACGAAAATATGATCACATGGGTTCTGTGGAGAAATCATATTGGAGTATTGGTCTACTTCATGTGAACTAAGCTTTCAAAATATGAGACATAACTTCCAGGAATTATCTTGATCAGCAAAATCCAATTTGAAGTAGTCTTCAGAACACCTGAACCAAGCACCGAAAGTCTCACTGGCATCAGGATTGTAGTGAAATTCAGTGATGCTATTATTGACGCCATCAACGTTCAGAAGATTTCTAGTTGATTCCTAATTGGACTAATTAATGGAGAAGACACAATAGGCGGGTAGAAACGTGTATTGTCGTCGAAAAACTATTGATCGACCGATCCCTCGTCTATCTGTCTAACTGTAGAATTGATGATATACAGTATATTTTCATTAGACACTCCTCAGACTAGGCTTTCTTCCTCTAATCCTCATATCATATGTATGTGAGTTCTGGATGCATGCATCCTCACTAATTATGATATCCAGGATGACAGTGGAACGTCCGCCTGGTGAAATATGTTTTGCATTCCATTGAACGATCTTGTTGCAATATTAGACAGAGGGAAATCGCTTTCAGTCGAGGGTTGCTCGTTGTTCAGCGAGAATGAATTATTCGCTGACAAAGGATGTTGTAAATAGGGTTAGTTTTGCAATTTAGTCTATTGTTTCTATACGTTGGTGGTCTGAAGTATTACCGGAAAGGTTAGGAGACAGTTATTCTTAACAATAGAACAGGTATACCATCTCTGACCTCTCAACAGATGCCTCAGATGTAGAAAAGGGTACTAATACTATCATATTTACATGAAATCAAGATGGATATTAGTCATAGGAGAGGAGTCATCTATGGATCCCAACTCTTCATGAAGTTCTTCAGTTTATCAAGTTAACTGAACTGAATCAGATGTTATAACACAATCTCGCTGGATACACCATGATTATCGGATCGAAGCATATGTCAGCAGCTGATGAGTCTCACACCGGGCGAAATACCAAGTGTTCTTTTCACTTGTCGTTTTTCTGATAATTTATTCAACTTTTAAAAAAAATCTTTTCAACCTTTTTTCATAGGCTTTCGAATCATTATGCCATTACTCTCATATACCATGTGTAACTGTGAAAGGTTTGGCTAAAGGTGTTGACTATATAGTCGGTATGTGCTTAAGTGATGCCCAATTGACAGCGACCGGTGAACAACAACAGCCTAATCAACACTTATCCCCCATTATAAACCGATTACAACATGCTTGGAATGCTGCTTATCTAGATGGTAAATGGGCATTATTTGATCCAATGTGGGCAGCACAACGTTTAGCTGTCAGTGCTAATACACGTTTATCACAATTAGTTCAAAGTGGACAAATGGATTATGAAACAGATATGTTCTATTTTAATGTTGATCCAGCTAAATTGATTTATTCACATTTTCCATTTGATGATTCTTGGCAAATGCTTAATCCACCGGTGACATTAAAGGTGAGTTCCTGCTTGAAATAATTAAAAAAAACTTGACAGGATTAGATGATCATTTTTTGTCGTTGTTGTTGTTGTTATTATTGTCTTAATATGAATTCAATTCGAAGGATATTGATCCTAATGAAAGAAAAGGTCAAAACATATCACTTTAAGCGTCATAGTGTTATCTATGACTCAGAAGTAATTCCTTGAAATAATCTTTTGGGGATACCGATGAAATTATACAAAAGGTAGTATGCTAATTATTATTATTATTATTACTTTTCCCTTGGGTTCCTTCCTAGTGGAACATAGGGCTTCAGTAGCACGTCTCCATTCCACTCTGTTCTCTATCTCCATGACAGCCCAAAACCTTTTATTTCTTCCTCCCACGATCTCCTCCATGTCACCCTCAGCTGTGACGCCCAACTCCTTGTTTCTTATTTCGGATTCCACTCGAGGGGCCTGTCACGTGGTTTCCTCAAACGGCCTTCTCAATGTATAACCAATCCATCTTCAATTTCTTCTGTATATTTCTCGAGAGATGGGCCATTGGTTGATTCGTTGTCGGGTCAGAGTTGCTTGTTGCTCATTCTTTCTCACCGTCTCATCTTCAGTATGGAGTGTAGGCAGCCGGAAATGCTTTTGTGATGCGTCAAGTTTCTGAACCAGATAGAAGTACTGACTTGACTGAATTGGTGTTGAAAATCCGGATCTTATTCTTGGTGTTGAGTGCAGTAGATCTGCACACTGATTTCAAATTAATGAAACCCTGTCTTGCTGTCTTTCCGACCCTGGTTTTGACCTCCTCGCCTGTAGTTGAAATGATGCTGCCTAGTTAGGTGAAAGAGATAACTTCCTTTACGTTAATGGTGATTGCTGCCTCTTGTTGTTGAGGCTGTTGTTGGTTGGGTATCCTCATCACCTCCGTCTTCTCTACGTTCAACTGAAGGAAGTCCCATCTTTCTTGGCTGCTCTGCCTCTTCTGTCAACTTGTTAGTTTTTGCCTGTACATCTTCTAGTTTGTGCGACATTAAACATAATCCAAATCTTCTAAGATTTTTTCATCTGTCAAACAGCGTATGACCATCTTCCCGCTCCTCGCGGTTCGCTGCATGATCCAGACCACCAAAATCAACAAGATCATGGGTGATAGTAGGCGAACTTATCTCACTCCTGTCTTCACTTCAAAGGCGTCACTCAGCTTTCCATTGTCAATCACTTCGCATGTGGTATCGTCACATAGCTGCTGAATGAGGTTGATAAGAGTTTGTGGCACTCCATAGTGTTGAAGCAACTGCAAATTACTTCTCGGTTGACGCTGTTGAAGGCCTTTTCAAAGTCGATGAAGTTAAGGTAACGAGTTCACTGCCATTCTATATTCTCTGCTATGATGATGCGTAGCGTACCGTTACAATTCGATCCATACATGATTTGTTCTTCCTAAAGGAAGCCAGCCAGCCTATTCCGGTCATAATATTGAATCCAGAGCATTTTCTACTTTCTCCAGGACGAAGCGGCTTAATATTCTGTATGGGGTGGACAGAAGCATGATTCCTCGCCAGTTCTTACAAAGACTTAAGTCTCCCTTCTTTGGGGGTTTGAAAAGGGAGCCCTTCTTCCAATCGATGGGCAGGTACCTTTGTTTCCTTCCTTGCAAACCTTCTGCAGTAGTGGTGTCAGCATGTCCGCCGTTGTCTGTGAATCTGTTTTCAGTGCTTCTGATGGAATTCCATCTGGTCATGCTGGTTTACCGGATATCAGCAATTTTAATGGCATTCAGGACTTCTGCTTTTGTCGGAGGGCCTGTGTTCACTTGTAATTCTGCCGTTGCTGATGGTTTTTTCGGAAGAGTTGCAAGCGGTGGTCAATTCAAGAGCTTTTCGAAGTGGTCAGCCCATTGTTTCCTTTGTTTCTCCTTTTTGCTAACTATGTTTTCTTCACTATCTTTCATTGGTTTCGTCTGTGTTGATCTCTTCCCTCCCAGATAATAGCCTGGCTATTTTATATATTGTTGTCAGATCTCTCTTACCAGTAGCCTGTTCTGCTTCACTTGCCAGTGTTTCGTAGGAATGTCTCTTGTCTTTCCGTGCACTCTCCTTCAATTCTTTGTCCAGTGTTTTATACATTGTACTCCGACCCTCTTCTCGTTGTGCATCCTTGCACTGGTTCAACTTCTGCTTCACCATCCTCCTCTCCCTACTCTGTCAGCTTCCATGTGTCCGTCGAGATTCATCCCTTATCTTCTATCTTCTTCCTTCCTAATAAGGTGATGCAGGTTTCTTTCCATATAGCTTTCAAAGACTACCAGTGCCCATCCACACAGGTTTCTTCAGGAATGTTGCTCGATATCTCCCACTTTGTCCTTATGGCTGAGGTGAAGATGTCCTTTGTAGTTCTATCCTTCAATTTCTGGTTGTTGAACTGTGGTCTACAGATTGAGATGAAGTCGATCTGATATTTAGTGCATCCTAGGGTCTGGTGAAATCCATGTCGGTCACTTTATGGATGTCCTCGTGCTTGTTCACACTGCTTCCAATCACCAAATCGTTGAATGCGCATAATTCTGCAAACAGTTCTCCATTCTCGTTTATTTCACCGAGCGCTTCTCGACCCATGGTTAGTTCTCTTCCTGTGTTTTCCACTCCCAGTTTGGCATTCATGTCACCTCACCCATTAGAATTTTGATGTCACCAACTGGCGTGGGGTCTTGTCTATTACTGATTGTAGTTGTCTGTAGATTCCTCCTTCTTCTCTTCATCTGAATTATTTGTAGGTGCGTAATGTAGCATTGCATGATTGTAACTTCCCTTCCTTTTGATTTAAATCTTGCTGTCATGATCCTAAAGGAGACTGGTTCCCTTTGTATGAGAGCCTTCGATGTTCTTGGAGACGTCATGATAGCCACCCCAAAACTCCGTATGCTCGTGGTTGTCGTCTAGGTGACGGAAGTAGATTGTTGACTCTCCAGTTGACAGTTTGGAGAGTCCACTTCCATTCCATTTACTTTTGCAGATTCCAATCAATTTCATGCCATATCTCCTCATCTCTTTTACAATCTTAGCAGCCTTGGTAGGTTCAAACATGGTGCGCACATTCCATGTCCCCATTCTTAATTTCGTTTTCATCGAGTGAGGTGTAGACACATCGGCTTATTGGCTTCCCAAAGTCTTTCACCAACTGGTGACATTTCGTCTCTCCAACTCCACACAGGAATAATTTTCTTTTTATTCTTTATATTTTGTTTGTGCTTCGAAGTTTCTTTAGCGTTTGGATTGGTTTTACGGGGTAGGGTTGCTAGCCCTATGCCCAACCTTCCCTCTTTGCCCTGGCTTATGACCAGCTAGTAACTAACGAACTAATTAACTAGGCGGGGTTTGGCTGGGCTTAACATAAGCGAAACGGTTATCTCGTGATTAAGTCACTCTGATCTGCTTGCCTGGTAAAATCTACCAATAAACATGGGCATTTCCAGTCTGTGGAGACATCCATCAGCCGTTAAAACGAGATTCGGTTAGTAGTTTTTCAACCTCCTTATTTAACCCTTACTCTTACAACTTCTTAGTATATGACTAATTCAGCTTTTAATTGGATGAATCTAATGAATGACCCTGTCGGGGTGGCTTGCTGCCCTTCACATCTCAAGGTCATGATATGTGGAAGAAACATGTATACATATATATATCAGACTTAAACAAGGAATTGAAGCACATAAAAGAAGCGCTAATAACTAACAATTATCCTCCACAGTTTATTAAGAAATTCATATGAATAGATAAGGAACAAAATAATAACACTAACGGGAGGAGAAAAGTGTTTACAGCCTCCATTGTGTTACCCTATAAGGAGGAAGGTACATCAGAAACTTTACGTGGGATCCTCAACAAGGTTTCAATTAAGGTGGCATTATAAAACGAACGAACCCGCTCAGAGATAAGCTTTGTCAGATAATTTAATCTGCCGAATTCTATGCAATCACTATGAGATCAAGGACATAGGTTATACTAGCCAGTCAAGGTCAGTTAGATCGGTGGAATCTAGGTAAATATAGAGTGAGAGACGTCAATAGGGATCAATAATCTAGAAAAGAGAAACTCGGCTATTACAACCGACGCATTAACGTACAACTATACAATATGATGGGTGAGATGAAACCCCGGTACACATTATGTCCAATATAATTAGATGGAAGGAGAGAAGGGGATTGACAACTGAATGAATCTTTGGTTATGGAATAAACACCCACCCAACACACATATGTAATAGGAATGATACATCAGTATGGTGAGATGTCCAGGGAGCTATGCTCATCGACTGGTGTCCATCAAGGATATTCACTGTCTCATTCTTATTCTATTTCATCATAGATATTGTTATGGAGGTATCCCTGTCATCACCAGGTTACACAGATGTTGACCTAATCACAGGAGAATTTCCGTTAGACCTAGAATATGCAGATGACATAGTCCTGTTGAGTGAAGACGCTGACAAGATGCAGAATTTTCTGGACACTTTGAATGGGAATTTGAGAATGTTTGGGATGCGTTTCTCATTACCCAAATGCAAATTTTTGCTCCAGGATTACTCTTCAACGGTGCCTCTTCGGCTAACAATAGAGAGTGAAGGGATTGAGTATGTTGACCACCTCACTTATCTAGGAAGTAGGAACAGCCCTAATGGCTCAGTGGCCGGTGAAATCTCTGTACGGATACAAAAAGGCTCGACTGGCTTTCGCCAACTTACACCATCTGTGGCACCTCTATGATATCCGATTGTCCACTAAGGGTGGAGTGTACTGCATAGCAATCCACTCTCTTCTAGTCTATGGCTGTGAAACATGGCTATTGAAGGTGGAAGACATGAGAAGTCTTGAGGTGCTTGTCCACCGTTGCCTTAGTAGGGTGTATAGGCCGTATTCCGTGGTGTCACTACACCACGTGAGTAATGCGGAAGTCAGGTGTAGAGTTTTGGGGAGAAGAGGTAAGTCAGTTGACGAGGTCGTGAAGCTTCATCGACTGAGATGGTTGGGACACGTACTACATATGTCCAGTCACCGATGGCCTCGTTACACACAATGTTGACAGAAGTAGGTCCAGGTTGGCAAAAGGCCAGAGGTGGCCAGAGTAAAACACGGGATCAATGTATGAAGTCTCTGACTGTTGGTTTGAGCCATATGGGGCGATGCAGACTAGGTAGTTGGGGTCGGTGGGACAAGAGGAACCAGTGGTTGGAGACTGACTCTAGGTGATATGGCTGTGAACCGACGCTATACGGAATCTCATCACTTTCTCATCCTTCATTTCTCTCTTTTCATACTTGATATTTCTTTTGACTGCATTCTCTTATCTTCATCTTGTACCTCACTGCCTTTTTTACTTGATGTAGTGATATGAGGTGTGGTAACTGGGACCGTCAGACTGGTCCTTTGTTGATATTGGTGGTTGATGATGATACATCACTTGGAATAAGAACCTAGAATATAAGCTGGGTGATCATATATCTGATTATGAAGAATAGTTTACACTCGGAACGTCATCCATTCATTGTCTCTAGGCTATATCGAGTAAACATATCCAATATTGAAGTATCTCAGTACTTCTTATACAACAGATGCCACTCACTGTAGAATGGATACCAATCTTTTTTCATTCGATATCCTCTGCATACATAAAGTCGACGAAATATCCTCTATGAAATAAATTATCTGTTAAAAAGTAAGAGGTATTCAATCCTTAAGTCTATACAAGAAAGTCAAGACTGTTATACTGTTTACCTTAGCTGAACAGCTTAATATTCCTTTGGGATGTATATAAGATCAGCCATGCTTGACTAACCACCCCTGCAATATGATAATGTAGAGCTATTTCAATTATCCTTCAGCAAAATACAACTAATCTATCAATTGATTTCAAGATAGAATTCATCAAGGAATGATATCAATTGGATGAACATTGTTCCGATCTAGTATAGGACTTAACCATGATCCTATCATGGGTCGAACTCAAGTTCTGTAGCCAGTCAACACTGCTAAAGAATACCATACAAAGACGAAACAGCTTCTAGGCTTCTAAGCTATCATATAAACTTAATTAAAAATTGGCAATAATCACCATTCTAGTTGGCAACATAAATTAGACTTTGATCAATCCAGTTTTCGCTTATTTATGCCTTAACTAAGAGAAAATGATATAATTCAGTGTAGTTGTGTACTTTGATCTCGACTCCAGAGTTAAGTACCTTCTGTGTGTGTGTGTGTGTGTGTGTGTGTGTGTGTGTGTGTAACAGAATGTATCATTTGTACAACACAATGTAGTAAACTTTAGGAGTGTTGTCCATTTTCAACAGATAATTTAGATTATATATCGATCAGTTTTGTTGGTGAACGTTTCATGGAACACTTCAACAAAGATAATCATGTCTAACAGAAAGTCTATTACCATCACGTTTCTAGCCAATAGATGAATGTAAGTGTGTACAGTTGAGACGTCGACGACTAGACTGTCGTATCATGAAAACTAGGGTAGAATTCAACTAAATCTGAAGGAATACGGTTAAGTCATATTTCTTGTGATTATCCACTGACACCGGTTTACTCTGTAAGTTTAGCTTAGTGATATGCAGTATAGTGATAGAATGTGCCTACCCCTTCACCCATTTGGGGACTCATATCATCCTGAACAGACTGGTTGATACACACATCTGAGATAGAACTCCAAACGTTAGTTCAGTATTTGTCAACGGATACTGTCTGTGACGCCAGTGATACGTCTGACTACCGGACTCCATTCTCTGAAATTAAGATGACAAGAGTAGACTATACACTTGTTCATATTTACGGAATCATGGTGTTAGCGATGTTGACGTTTTGATGGTAGGTACTAGAACAAGGAAGCAAGCTGACCGGTAAAGTCATGAATCTTCACCAGCTGAAATGACTTTAACGGATGTTTCCATGTCTGAAACAAGTAGCATCGTTCTCGAAAAAGTCTCAGAGTGGTGAGATCAGGATGTGGTACCATTTTATTCGATCTTAAAGTGTAGGGTGGTGTCGACTGTCCGGTTGAGTTCTTTGAAATGCTAGAAATCACCGGTTTAAGTGTTTGTAGTGACTTTCGAAGGCAGGTATGAAGTGTATGGTGATACTGTCGCTTTTTTTATGTCAAACCTACTGCAGTGATGACTATCAAAGTATGCCACTTCAATATAGGCCATAAAATAAACAAGGGCACGATGTAAACGTTGTCTGTAAGTAATTTCTCCGTCGAACAGTAATTAGTCAAGAAGCATTTCCATTTACGTATAAACTTTCTGCGAAAGTTTTGCTGAATAAAGTATACTACTTAAACAACTTTTAAGTAGTTCAAATTTTAAAACTGCAAAAATATTTTTTTATAAATGAATCCTTTTTTAGCAATTTGAAAATAGTGTCCTTTTGAAACCAGCATTCTTTCGTCATGGTCTTGGATTACTTTCTCATCAGGATTGTGTTATTCTAGCACCGAATAAACTTGTCATTAAGCTTTCTATGCCAAGAGCTTTGACAGAGAATTTGAAATTTACATTCAATTTAAAATATGAGGAGAAGAATGATAACTTGGATGTAAGTGATGAATTATTGAATTATTGTGTATTGAATAAATTTTATATTGTGGTTTAATTATTTCCTTTGACAACTGGTTGATTGACTGCATTGCTTCTGATTGGTTCAAACGTCTTGAAAGGATGTTATTGCTTAGTGGGAAGAATATTAGTGACTGGATGTCAGCAGGTGTATTCGACTGACGAGTGTTTCATAGGACGAAACAAGCATCAAGCTGGATTTCACTGCTAACAGCTATCCATTATTAATAATGTTGTAAAAATGTCGGTGAATCATTCACCCCACAGGTCCGAATTACTCTTACTTACTGTTTCAAAAGCATAGAGAACAAGATCCAGATTATCAACACTAATTCAGTCAACTCATGCTTCCATGTGATGGTTGAGAGACTTGGCGTGTTACGAAAGACATTTTCAACAAACTACAGACATTGGTCAACAGCTGCTGCCTACACTGTCTCCTTACTGAAGATGGTGATCAGATGACGAGAATAATAAGAATAAGCAAGAAGGAAGTCACTGTGGGTGGCTGGTGACGAGCCAACGAAGCAAGAAGCAATGGGTGAACAAATATGCAGTGTAGGGAGGTGGATATGGATTGGATTGGGTATACACTGAGAAGGTCGACTGGGGACATGAGGCATGAGAGCAGGTGAGTGTCTCGAGTGGAACGGAGATGGTAGGTGAGGAGTTTGGCGTGGTAGGTGAGTGTGACATGGAGGAGATGGTGTGAGGAAGAAATGAAAGCTTGTTGGCAGTCGCTACAAAAGAATATGATCTTCTCACAGTTTACCTTTTGTGTCCACGAACAGTAACTGATGTCTACATGTTTATCGAATTTATGCTATCCTTTCTCAAGTTATAATCGTATTCTAATGATCAGGCGTTGAATTTTGATCCAGAACTTCCTGTAAGTTGTCTTCAACCGTCTAATATCACTCCAACTGCACTACAATATTGATTTTATATGCTTGACAAATGAATACACAACACATATGATCGGCAGAATCCAATCAGCACTTTGAATTACATGAAATGCTATTTGTTTGTTTTATTGTAATCAACCAATTTCTAAATTTCACCATTTCATACAAGCTATGATAATGATACTTCCATTTCAATCATTCATGTATTTGAAGGCGAAAACACATAGTAGCTGTTCTCTCGACAATCAGTCTGCTTGATTACTTGAGTTAATTAAAGAATGAGTGTTGCAGAGATGTAGGTATTACTACCCCGGAGACAAGTTTTTGTAAGGAACTTGTCTCACTAGTTGAAAGACGGGGACTATCCATTCAACGGATAGCTGGATATCATTGTGAACCGTCTGCTACAGCAAATAATTGTGGAAAGATTTGGCTCCACCACTGCCCACAAGCTCCATTTCACCCTCACATACCATCTCCTCCATGTCACACTCACCTACCACGCCAAACTCGCCACTTACCATCTCCGTTCCAATCGAGACACTCGCCTGCTCTCATGCCTCATGTCCCCAGTCGACCTTCTCACTGCAAGCCCAATCCAATCCATATCCACCTCCCTACACTGCATATCTGTTCACCCATTGCTTCTTGCTTCGTTGGCTCGTCACCAGCCACCCACAGTGACTTCCTTCTTGCTTATTCTTATTATTCTCGTCATCTGATCACCATCTTCAGTAACGAGGCAGTGTAGGCAGCAGCTGTTGATCAATGTCTGTATTTTGTTGAAAATATCTTTCATAACATGCCAAGTCTCTCAACCATCACATGGAAGCATGAGTTGACTGAATTGGTGTTGAAAATGTGGATGTTGTTGACGGAGAGTGCTGAGTGTAGTGCTGCAGATCTCCACACTGGTTTCAGTCTAATGGAAGCCTGTCTTGCTGTCTTTCCGATCTTGTCTGGCTTTGACGACCTCATCTGTGTCGCTGCCTGTAGTTGAAATGGTGCTGGGTAGATAG